AATTAAGAATAGAGATCGAGAGAGTCAGAACAGTAGATGTGAATAAGTGACATTAAACTGAGAACTGAAAGATAGTTAATCAGACAGAGTTGTGAGCTGGGGTTGGGGGCATTCCTGGCAGAGGAGGCCTGGTGGATGAAAGGAAAATACACCAGTGTGGCTGGAGGATAGCAAGCGACTGGGAGGGGGATGTGAGATAAGTTTGGGGAGAGAGGGAAGGACCTAACTATATGGAAGGTTATGTGAAGAATTTTGGATTTTATTAAGTGCAATGGGAAGCCATGAAAAAGTTTTCATCAAAGAAGTGACAAGAAACAATTTACGTTTTTTTTTTTTAAAGATTTTATCTTTTTATTCATGAGAGACACACACAGAGAGAGAAGCAGAGACATAGGCAGAGGGAGAAGCAGGCTCCCTGCAAGGAGCCTGATATGGAACTCGATCCTTGGACTCCAGGATCATGCCCTGGGCCAAAGGCAGGGGATAAACCACTGAGTCACCCAGACATCCCACAATTTACATTTTTAAATGATCTCTATGGCAGCTGCATGTAGAATAGATTCCAGATGGGACAAGAAAGTAACCAGGCAGGAAATAATCGTGACTTGGACTAGGGTGGTGGCAATGGTCAGGGAGAGAAGTGGATGTGAGAATTATTTTGGATAAGGAGAGAAAGCAAAAGGTTAAGGATGCTTCCTAGGTTTCTGCTGTAAACAAATGTGTAAAGGCAGGTGTTACAAATGGGTAAAGAGGAAGAAGGCAGGAGAGGCAGGCTCTGGAACAAGGAATGATTGAGAGTTCAATGTGGGATGCCTGTGAGTTATCCAGTTGGACACATCAGGTAGGTAACTGGTTATGAAGATCTAGAATAGAGGTTAGGATTGGAAGTAAAAGATTAGGTGTTATCAATATATAGTTGGCATTTACAGTCACAGGAATGGATGAGTTTATCTAGGGAGAGGGAGAGTATGAATAAGAGAAGAGAAGCCCTGAGGAGTTTTATATTTTAAAGGATGGGAAAGGAAGACCCTCCAGAAGAGACCGAGTTGGTCAGGTTGTTTAAAGCTGGAAGAGGTCCATAGTACTAAAAAGGAAGAAGTGGCCAATTGTATTGATTGCCAAGAAGATGGAAAATCTCCCTTGATTTTGGCACTATGTAGGTCACAGATTGCTTTAGTGAGATTATCAAGTGGACTAAGTTCCGCTGCAAATATCAGAGAATCAATTTACTATAGATTAACCCTTGCACCACCAGAGTCTATTGGATCCAATTTTAAGAGTATGAGCTTCTTTTCTGAGAGGTTCTAACTATTTATAAGGATGGATATTTCATGAATTTTATTCTTTCTTAAACTCCCGCTTTTTCCAATAAACAAAAAGCAAATGTACTTTAAAAATGTGATAACTCATTTTATCTTGCAATTGCCATATGGATACATTGAAGTCTTTCATAATTTATGGGATCTTAGTGATCTTAATTTTCTTTAGCTTTAAACATTTTGCTATATTATCATTCTAGGAATTATTTCAACTTTACTCAACAACTATTCCAGACTATGTTAGAGAAGACAAAATAGCAATTTGGAATTGCCTAGGAAGTTGATTCAATAGTAAATCAACTGTTATATCATCACTGTTATATCATCCTTCCATTATCTTATTGTATTGTCCAAAGCACTACATCATCTTTTAAGAAGGTATAAAAAATATCTGGAGACATTACCTTTTTAGTTTTTTATTAAGGCTTTTATTGATCACTGATGAGAATTCAGAAATTTCATGTTTTGTCCTACAATGGCAAAGAAAACTGATGGAAGAAAACACTTCAAAAGTATTAGAAAAGTCAGAAAATAAATGTAAAAAGACACTAGGCTTTAATGATGATGGTAAAATGTACCATACAAGTGGAATCAGATGATGAGTTTTTATTTATTTTTTAAAGATTTTATTTGTTGTTGTTGGTTTTTTTAAAAGTGATCACTACACCTCAAATGACAAGTCATAATGGTATCCTAAATTTTCTCAAACTCCAGAATTGTTAATTCAACAATATATATTTATTAAGCAGATTTTTTTTTAAATTTTTATTTATTTATGAATTTATGATAGTCACAGAGAGAGAGAGAGAGGCAGAGACACAGGCAGAGGGAGAAGCAGGCTCCATGCACCGGGAGCCCGACGTGGGATTCGATCCGGGGTCTCCAGGATCACACCCTGGGCCAAAGGCAGGCGCCAAACTGCTGCGCCACCCAGGGATCCCTATTAAGCAGATTTATGGTATTCTTATCAATTTAACAGGAAGGATTTCATTATTCAATATTTTGGAACAAGAACCTGAGCCGTCCAAAAAGATTTGATATATTTTGTCATCTTTTTTGATGTTTTGTATCATATACACTTGATATGTTTGCAAGTCAACAAATGCTAAAGGGAATGTATATGCAAATATAACTGGAAGGAAATCATGATGTAGAGAGGAAAAATTCATTGAAATTGCTAATTCTTTTTTCCTCCAGTTTTACTGAGATACACTTGACATACATTGTATACTTTTAAGAAGTCCAAGGTGTTTGATTTGCTAGTTCTAATTGTTGTTTATAAATCTAAACATGAAAATGCTTTACAGGTAAGAAGTAAAGAAGATGGCTATCTTTGTTTTTTTTTAATTAAATTAATTTATTCATGAGACACACAGAGAGAGGCGGCTGCCTCTCACACTGGCAGAGGGAGAAGCAGGCTTCCTGCGGGAAGCCCAATGTGGGACTCCATCCCAGGACCCCAGGGTCACACCCCGAGCCAGCCAAAGGAAGGCAGACGCTCAACGGCTGAGCCAGGCAAGCATCCCAAAGATGGCTATCTTCTTTCCAACAAGACTGAAGGCCACCCACATTTTCAAAAGTACTTTTGTTGATTCAAGTGCAAGAAGTAGCAAAAATAAGAATAAGCTAGCATGTTAGAGATGTATTTTTAATTTAGAGTCAATATTTATGAGATGACTTTGTTCCTGGTACATATACATTGACTGATTGATAGCAATATATTTTTTAAAGATTTTATTTATTCATGAGAGACACAGAGAGAGAGAAAGAGGCAGAGACCCAGGCAGAGGGAGAAGCAGGCTCCGTGCAGGAAGCCCAACATGGGACTCGATCCCGGGTCTCCAGGATCAGGCCCTGGGTCAAAGGCGGCGCTAAACTGCTGATCCACCCGGGCTGCCCATAGTAATATTTAACAGATACAGCCTGGGGTACCTCAGGGTACAGGCTGGCTCAGTCAGTACAGCGTGCTGACTCTTGATCTCAGAGTTGAGCTCCATATCGTGCATAGGAATCACTTTAAAAAAATAAAGGATATGGCCCGCTCAGGGTAATATTTCTCTAATTGCAGAAAAATATAGGATAAAAATTTGATTTTGCTATGTTTAAATTCTTATTAAAGTTTATTTATTTATTTTTAAAAGATTCTACTTATTTATTCATGAGAGACAAACAGAGGCAGAGACATAGGCAGAGGGAGAAGCAGGCTCTGTGCAGGGAGCCTGATGTGCGACTTGATCCCCAGACCCGGGATCACGCCCTGAGCCGAAAGCAGACACCCAAACCGCTGAGCCACCCAGGTGTCCCTAAAATTCATTTTAAAATTGTTTCACTATCCTTTATTCTTGCTTCTTATAAATGATTTGCAAATGGCTGAAAAATATGAAAAAATAAAGTCTATTGGTGATGACTGGTGTACTGAGGGTTAAACAAGCAGGGGTTTGTTTTGCATAACAAGCAATAGAGAACACAAAACACGACCCTCTCTTATAGACTGCTTTTGGCTTCAAATTAGAAATGTTATCCCATCAAATGGGGAAGGTGAGCTTAGGGTGACCCAGGCTGCTAGTAAGATAACTAGCATAAGATGCAGACAAACAACATCCAAAGGAAGAAACAATGACCCACATCTCTCCGTATAGTTCTCTATTAAGAGACAGAAACCTTCCAGAATCACTCCTCCTCTGGCTCCTTTCCTTCTTGTCCCCTTGGTGAGAATTGCCTCATGGGCTCATTCCTGAACCAAGACCTTGCAAAAGCAATGGGGTTACCCTCAGATCATTCAGGCTAGAGTTTGGGGATATGTCAATTACCCTGAGGCACACTGGCCCGGGGGAGGGATGGACCCTGAACAAAACTGGAGTTCTGGTAGGAAGAAGCGGTAGCAGATAGCAGGTAGGCTACCGAGTACAAGGCGGGCCGACCACACAAGTGAAACTCCTGAAGCAACTTTCATACATTAATCAACTGGAGAGAACCATCACCAGGACCCAGAACAGACAGGACAAGCAAGTCACCCCTTTTACAATTCCCCTCTTTCCTGTCTCATTTTTCTGTCATTTTCCAAGAATTCAGGACGCTCTTTTACTCCCCGCTCCTTGTGACAACTACATATAGGAGGATCCAGCCGATAGATTTTTCTAATGTAGGGTGAGCGGGATGAGGTGAATGAGACTTATGGAACCGGGAGACAGGCCCACAACCGGGCTGGAGACGGAGTGTATGACAAGCTTCAGGAATGAGGCGGTGACCAATGGATGGAAGAGGCCTTGAGCAGACAAGAACATAAATAATGAAACTGGGAAGAGGAGAGCTATAGAGAGCGATCTCCCCACATTTTGCTGGTCAGGATTTTTGTATGCTTTTAAAATTCAGAGCAAGTGGTGTGACCAGAACCAGAAAGAGGAAGAATATGGTGTTGAGAGGAAGCAAAGGGAGAGAAGGGAACCATTTCAGTTCCTTTTTTTTTCCCTTGCTTAACTGAAGTCTGTCCTTAACAGTTTGAGATGCACACACCCCCTTTACTTAAAGGTGACCAGTGAAGATCAAAATTGAGCGTGATGTCTGGGGCAGGCTGACTTTGGAGCTGCCTCTTTTGGGCGATTCCGTGCATTTGGACTGGGGCTGGAACTGAAACAGTCCTTGGGGGTGGGGATGGGGGACACAAGAGACAACCATGTCAAATTCGTCTTCAATGTGCAATTACAAAAGCTGTAGGCACAAGGGTACGTGCTTGGGTTTGGACAATACAGGACATCTTCTGAGCAGGGATGGCATAAGGAAGGGCGGTCAAGTGCCAGCCATAACCCCACCTGGGACCATGTTTTCATAGAGTCACAGCTGATGAAGCCAATACCTGTCACATAGGATTCTGGCCAATACTGGTAGTCCCATGGGGGTAGACTGAATACCAAAGCTGCAAATCAGGGGACTGTGTCCACTCCATTGCATGAAACCAGGACTGCTCGCTGGCCTGAACACTCAATCCACCGTTTTAATCGTAGAAATCTGAAAGGAAAAAAAAAAATGAGTGGAGTTTCAGTTCCTGCCACCTTTCCCTTACCTTCGTGAAATATCAGCACATCATCATTCACAGCTGGTTTCCCACCAAAGCCAGGAGGAGGGATTACTCCGTCGATTACTTCCGTTCATGAAAAGACAGTTGCCTTTATGAGTTTCCAGGAGTCCCCCCCGCCCCCGCCCCCGCCCCTGAACGAGCCTAAGAGAATCCAGGTGAGTCCCTATTCGCTGCTCATGAAGGAGAAGCGTGGAATCTTCCTTCTATGCCTGTGAGTCCCCAAGGGGGAGAATGAGGGGCTCACGCTGTAGGGCCGATGAGGACGCTGCCCGGAGCCTGGCAGGTTCCCTCCCCGCCCCAGGAGGCTGGGGCTCTCGGGCGGCTCCGCTGCGACAACCCACCTGCAGCTTACTCTGTGCCTCGACGGCTAAGTGTGCATTAAGACAGCATTCCGTTACAATCCAGCTCCTCTTATTTTCTGAACCTATGCAGCGGATTCCATGTGTTGTTGTTGTTGTTTTAATTTCACGGGCAACTTTTTATAGAACTCTGGTGTAGTGACCCAAGATGCTGGAGGGCGAATAATCCGACTACACAGTTTAAAAAAAAAAAAAAAACAACCAAAAAACCAAAACCACAACACGACCCCTTAGAGATCCAAGCCGGACGCGGTAGGAACAGGCCACTGCCCCGGGGGCCGTGAGATTCCAATCAGCCGCGCGAAACAGCAGCCTCGTGGATTAAGCCCTTCGGCTCCCCCCTGCCCCCACCCTGGGCTTTCAGGAAACGAGCACCTGCACCTGCACGGACCGGGGACCCAAGTCCAGGGGCTTTGTCTCAACAAGAACAAAGATCGGCGCAGCCGCTGCTCGCTTCCGAAGGGCCGAAGGGCCGCGGCGACCGCGGCAGCCCAGCCGCCCGCCGCCCGCCGCCGGAGCCGCCCGCCCCTGGCCCCTTTAAGCGCCGCGCCCGCCCCGCCCCGTGCCCCCCCCACGGCCCCTTTAAGCGCCGCGCCCGCCCCGCCCCCGGCCCCGCCCCCTGCCCCGGCCCCGCCCCCGCGCCCCCGCCCCTTTAAGCGCGGCGCCCGCCCCGCCCCCCCCGCCCCGCCCCCGCCCCCCGCGGGCCGCGCGCTCCGGGCCGCGCCTCCCGCCGGGGTTACGTGAGCCCGGGGCGGGCGGCCGCCGGGCCAATGGCCGCCGCCCGGGCGGCCGCGCTCCTCCCGCGCCGCCGCCGCCGCCGCCGCCGCGGCCGCCGTGGGGCTGCGGGCTCCTCCCGCAGGAGAGAACTGTCAGCGCGCGAGGCGGCGGCGGCGGCGGCGGCGGCGGCGGCGGGCCGGCTCAGTCATATGACCGGCCTCCGGCGGCCCCGACGCCGCGCACAGCTCCTCAGCCGCAGCGGCCCCGCGCTCGCACAAGGCTGGGCGGCCGCGCCGCCGCCGCCGCGATGGCCCCGCCGCCGCGGCCGCCGCCCCCGGCTGCGCGCTGAGCCGCCGGCCCCCGGAGCGCCACGGCCGGAGCCGCAGCGGCGGCGGCAGCATCATGGCCCCGACCCTGCTCCAGAAGCTCTTTAACAAAAAGGGCAGCGGCGGCGGCGGCGGCGGCGGCGGCGGCGGCGGCTCCGCGGCGGCGTCCGCCCAGGGCAGGGCTTGCAAGGAGGGAGCCGCGTTTAGGTGAGCGGGGCGGGCGCCGAGAGGCGAGGCGGGAGCGGGAGCGGGAGCGGGAGCGGGAGCGGGACCCGCGGCGGCGGGGGGCGGCGGGCGGCGGGCGGCGGGGGGAGGGAGGGAGGGAGGGGGCCGCTCGGGACGTCGCAGCCCGTCGCCGCCGCCGCCCCCCGCCGCCGCGTCCGGGCGACCGCCGAGCACGCGCCGACGCGAGCGGGCCCCGGAGCGTCTGGGCCCGGGAGGGTCCCCGCCGCCCGCCGCCCGCCCCCGGGACCCGGGACCCGGGACCCCGGCCGCGCCGCACAGCCGCGAGGGTGGCGGCGCCGCGGAGCCGGGCGCTGTCCCTCAGGCCGCTCCGACCTATTGTGTACGTGACAGTGTTTCGAAGTTGGCGGAGGAGCGACAGCCACGAGCTGAGGCGGCGCCCCCCGCCCCGCCCCCCGCGGTTTGTGTGACGGCGCTGACGGGGGGGGGATGAGCCGGGGTCCCCACCTCGGGGGAGGCCGCCGCGGCCCGGGGGGCGGCGGGGCAGACGCTTTGAGGGATGGTTGAGGTCCTGCCTCGGCGGCGCCACTGCGGGCCCGGAGCGGACGCGCCGTCGGAGGCCCCGCGGGTGTCGGGGCCGCGTCCCCCGCCGGGAAGCGGGGCGGGCGCTGGGTTCCTGCGCGGCGTGGAGAGCCCGCGAGGTAGGTGCGGCCGCAAGTCCCCCTCGGAGCCGCCGGCAGCTTGACAGCCGCGCGCCCTCGTGAGCGGCGCAGCCTCTGCGTTTTGACCCAGCTTGACCGCAGGATCCAGGCTTTAAAAAGCCTCCGTGTTCTCCTGCCCTCAGGAGCCCACTTGCGGAAGGAAGGTGACTTCCCAGTGCCCCGCGTCGCCCCTGAGTCGCCGCCCGTGGAGAGGTGTTTAAGCCCTGCCCCTCGAACGGGTTCAGCACAGGTTTTGAGCTTGAGCACCTCCAGCCGCCAACACCGTGCTGCTCCCGCGTGTGTTGGCCCAGACGTCGTGCAGAAGCAGGGATACTGCCGACCAAGCCCAGAGCCAGGGTAATAAAGCCTCCTTAAAAGTTCGAAGAGACACTTGGAATACATCTTGGTTTTAGGGTTTGCTTGCATTCCGGGTCTCGCTTTTCCCGAATTCCCTTCCCTTAAAACACAGCCGCTTACTGCAGTTTGCGGGAATCGTGGAAGGCCGCTGGTTTTGTGCTTGTGTGTGGGAGTGTGTGGGTGTGGTGGTGTTTGGAAGGTAAATTGTGAGGACTTTACCCCAGTTAAATTCTCATGTTTCTTTAAAAAAAAAAAAAGATTTTATTTATTTATTCATGAGAGAGACAGAGGGAGAGAGGCAGAGACACAGGCAGAGGGAGACGCAGGCTCTCCAGGGGACGCCCCCCTCCAACCCCCCAGAACCACTGAGCCACCCGGGCCGCCCCCTCACGTTTCCTTTAGACTAACTGGGTCCTTATTATCTGAGTAGGGAAGCCTATTCCTTTCACTGCTCTGAGTGCTCGTGATGTCGTGTCCCTCCGCCCAAAGGTAGAATCACCTGAGACCCAGGGTACGGAATGTCTTCTCTTCCCTCCCAGTAACCCAGACTCGATCAAGGGAACAAAGCCTGGAGGAAAAAGGGCATATGTGTTACTTTGCCCTTTACTTTGGGTGTCTTTGCTTTGGCAGCCCTTGTCAAGGACATTTAAAGCCATTTTACTGCTGGTGGAGATAGTGGAGTTACACTGTCATGGTTTCCTGTGCTCTCGGCCCAGTTGCCCACCACCATTTCCTCTATCCACGAGTTTAATTGAGTGTATTTTGAACAACAACAACAAAAATTGTGTCTATATTTAGGGCTTGGCCATATTAGGGCAATTGATTCCCACTTTGTGGGAACATTTTCAGTATAGTGTTCTGTTGTCCCATTGGTATATAATGAAGAACACAAAAGTTTGCCAAGGACTGGTGTTTTTTTTTTTTTTTCCCCCCTTGACCTCGTTGGGATTTTTCTACAAGTTTTTGAGGTAGAATTTTGACATTGGTTTGGGAGAATTGGAGCTGTCAGTTGACCATTTCACTTGATGAGGCCCCTTAGCAGAAAGAAGTGAACTAGGACATGTCTGTAAAGATGCAGGGTGGTGGGGACAAATAGACTTGTGCACACCAGCTCAACAAAAGATACCCAAGCAGGTCTTTTTCCTCCTGCTCTTGCCACCCAGCCTAACTTTTAAATACAGGGTAGCCCTCGTAGGAAGAGTCTTCTAGAAAATTTCCTTTTCTTGCCCTTGTGCTTCATTTTATCCAGGTTTTACCAGACAGGAGCTGGTGTTTGCTTTTTGGGGCAAGTGGGTGCCTAATCCAGGGGATTAGCTGCCCTTAGGAACCCACTTTACAGTTGAATAGATTTTTGAGAAGTTCAAGTGATACCCTTAGGTTAAAGACCTAGTATTCCTAACATGAATTTGTATTTTTCAGTGCATTTAAATACAGTATATAACTTGTGGATCTTGGGAATGAAAGTCTCCTAGGGGAATCAGAATTTTGGGCAGTTTTGTAGAGTATATTAACATATGGTTTGGAGAAAAGTCTAAGTAAAAATAAGATCCAACTTTATAATACTATATTTACATACATGTTTGGGGATACACATATACACACATATATGTATTTGTTTGTTTTAGGGTTTGTGGAAAGCCTTTTTTATATCTCTTCTTTTTCTTTGATGGACTTTCATTAGTTACTTTAAACTTTTCTCCAGTTCTCTGCAGTTTGGCCTTTCATCAGGTTTTGCCCTCTGTGTTATTCTCTTGATTCTTGTGCACTTCCCGGGCACTTCCCTCTGTTTCTTACTGTTCCTTCTCACTGCTCTGGCTTTGACACACTATAGTTGATTAGAGAGGAGATTTTTTTTTTTTTGTTCAATATAATAGCTTATCTCATAGGTCATTTTCAGATCTTCATGCTTTCTGGTGTTCCATCTAAAAAAAGGAACATCACAGTCAAGACTCCTTCTTAAGTGTATTTTGTTTGGGACCTCAACAAAAGCCCTTTCATAACTTTGAGGAAAGAGCCTTCTAGGAAAACAAAAGAAATCAAAAGAGATTGAATTTACGTGTTTGGGAGAAGTAGCTAGGAACAATATATGACTATGGTATTTGTGAAGTGTAAACTCTAAAGTTATAAAGTTCCATGATGGTCTTGAAATTTGAGAGTATTCTCTATTTGCTTGTCTTCAGGTTAGTTTTGCTTTTAATTGGTTGAGACATAAATATATATTTGAACAACCCTTTGTTTTAGAAGGATAAAGTAGAGCAGAAAGAGGTGATTTGTCTAGTGGCTCAAGTCAGAAGTAAAATTGGGTTCCTGGTTACTTTAGATTTGAGGTCAGCATGTTCACATTAGGAGTTTTTAAAAGCCAACGTATGCCCATGGACTCACATGTCTGGTTCAAGTTTGAGGTTTTATCTTACGGTGTTTTTTTTTTTTTTTTAAATGTCTCTGTTAAATTAGTGGGCCAGTCATCACCTAAAATATATATGCAACAGGGAACTGAAAAGATAATAGGTTATCAAATATTTTATTTTGGACCAATTAAATGAAGTGAGTAAGCTTATATATTACCTGTGACGTGAGTAGTAAGTGGAAGCATTTCAGCTGCTCAGTAGCCAGCAGTATAAATGCTAGAAGTAGATTCCATTCCTTCTCCCCTCCAATTCTGAATTTCCAAGGCCAAATGGCCTAGTTAGTACTAATCTACATTGTTCTGTTAGAACAAATTTAAGTACTCTGTTACAGGGTTAGTATGAGTATAATTCAATCCACCTATCATCATTATCAAATAGCATCTGATGCCCATGTGTTTGTGCTCCACCTGTGTAAATCAAGGTAGGACACTCATGATCCTGCCTACTGGAATTAGCAATCTAACAAGATGAATAAACAGCAAAATACACATTGGAAACTATAACAAGAAGATAAATGAAACAATGATAAAGAGTAAATCTTTACATTAAGTACAGCATTAAGAACTCTCTGTTCTCATGCCTAGTATGACTGAGGGTAGGAGTATAAATTGGTCTCTTGGACAGGGTGAAATTACACAGAAGTGCTTCCTCCCCTCCCACTGCTAGCTCCTAAGATATATGCATTTTTTTTAAGGTTTTATTTATTTATTCATGAGATTGACAGAGACACAGGCAGAGGGAGAAGCAGGCTCCACCATGCAGGGAGCCCGACTCCTCCTTGTGACTTGTGTGACTCGATCCTTGGACTCCAGGATCAGGCCCTGGGCTGAA